GAAATTAAGTCGCATTGGAAAGAAAAGTATGAATAATTCAACAGCAGACGAAACGGATTGAGAAAAAACTCTGACCTCTGGAAATACCCCATTCATAGGGTGCCTTAGTACAGAAGAACGCCGCCCTAGAGCGACATAATGCACGTTGCAACATTGTGACCGATGCATGCTGGGCTATCAGGGGTTCTGATCGAGGTAACAAAGATGGCGGCGCAGAATGCATGATTTTCCGCGATGTTTAAAAACAACATCTCGTTGGCGATTTTGATGTAATGCCTATGATAATCGTCAATGAATTGTTTTAAAAAAAAATTGTGTATTTCACACCAAAAAGTCAGATACAGATGATCGCAATAGCAGTGGTGAATACCCGTCCAACGCAATGCCGTCAGCTGACAATGTTACGGTGATCGTAGGGTGATCGTAGTGTTGTACTCACAAGGTATATTGCAATGAAAAATCGCCGAACTGCCATTGTAGAATTTGTTTCTAATTATTGATTTATTAATTTCAATATATTTCGATATCTTGCCGACTTTATAAATTTAACCAAAAAATGTTTTCCCCCGACGTTTATATGAACCGACATTGACATGGGCTCTAAAACTTATACACAATGATGAACCAGTTACATCCATGGATAACATTATATTCACTGACTGGCTATAACACGAGTCTTTCAATTATTTTTCCTTTTTATGCTGTTCCATTTCAAACTTTATTTGACTTGATACAAAAACATAAAATACAATGCAGTAAAATGATATAAAATTTATCAGATATAAAAATATCTTGTCTTTAATTAATTGTAGATTGACAATATTTGTTGGGAAAAACTGATTATTATGCAAATAAAAATTATGCAAATTAGATGCATTGTTATGCAAATTGGCCGTGATGCTTGACATGAAGTCTGGGGAGAACACTGAAAACTGCATGATGGTTTTCGAAAGAGGTGATTAGCAATTTTTGAAAGGTAAAAGAAGTCTTGAAAGAAGAATTTTTACATGATTCACGATGATAACAGTTCAAATGTATTTTACCCAATCACGCAATAAACACCTTGTTTTTTCTTGAGTAGCATATTAAACTGATCGTGAACTCCGCTTTGCCCATGTTACATCGGGGTGGAATTGATTTTGAATGAATTTTAGCTATCAATCTAAAGACTGCATCTATCGTCAGAAAATGTTTACTTACAAAGATTTTACAATTTTAATTTTACAATGCTAATTTTACAAAATTGACTTGTATTGTTTAAAGCCGATACCACATCGCACGACTATGTCTTTTGTTTACAAATTATTATCCACGACTGGCAGGATGCTTGTCGGTCGGTACGTAAGTATAATAACAATATGACAATAGTCGGACGCGTTTCCGTGGTGGTCGCTAATTTTGAGTGCCGGTCGGGCCGACCAGCGTGACGAAATCCCCAATAAAAAAAACACTGTGGCGGTCTTGCTAATCACCATGGTGGTGTCAGACCGGTGTGGTGGCAAATCGAAGCACTGTGGCGGGACCGCCACGCTGTTTACATCCTGGGGAGAACACTGTAGCAATATTTTTAAATTCTATTTAAATTACTGTAGAATACTTTATTTTCGCTTGGAATTTATTTTCGCTATTTTTGCTGAAGGGATGATTCCGTGAAAATAAAATCCTGCGAATATACATTTTTTCCTATATTTCACATTAAGCTCATCAAAAATCAGTGAAAATAAATTCCATACAAAACGCCCAAAAAGCCTTTTCAGCGAAAATTAATTCCAGCGAAAATAAAGTATTCCACAGTAATCTCTGTGTATAACATGCAAAGTTGTTAAAGTAAAACGATTGTTACAGGCAAAAAGAACTACATTTCAGATAATAAAGACTGTCAATAACAGGAATGCAAATACATACATGTATTGATGTTGTTTTTGTAGCAATTTGCTACAGAAATATTTACTTCTACCATCAAAACATGCACATGATACTTGTCTTCTGAACAATATATTTTTTTTTATAAAGACATTGTGGTGTTTATTTCTAAGACTATTTTGACTTTTTTTTTGTAGCAATTGGAAGAGGTCAGGCAAGTCGGCTCTCACAAGAAAGGCACCATGATGACGGGACTAAATGTTGCCGATATTGTTGTTATACTAAAAATACTACCCACAGGTAGGGATTATAACACCACAGTCAATTTAACATTTTTTTGAGTTAAGGTTGTTCAATTTCACTTTGAGAGTCCTTGAAATTTGTTATATTTTGCTGTGAAAAAAGACATTTATTGGTACTGACCTTACATTTGACATAAATGTTGTATTTATTTATATGGATTACAGAGTTAATATATGCGAAAATACATAAAAAAAAATTAAACACAATCCATTGAATTAAAAATGTCATATAATAATGATGGAAAAACATTTTGAATAAAATAAAAATTGGGGTACAGACTTATTTGTAAGTCTATGTAAAAATACAGCAGTTTCAGTAATTCGTCCTATGCTAACAGATATTTTGTAGTTACAATAGAACATGTTCTCACACAAAAACTCTTTTGCATACATTTCAAACCCACTATGTTCAACAAACTTATTGGTTTATCCCTGAAAACTTGAAAACAGCTATCCAAACAATGAGCAATGACAAACAATACATTTACCTGTACTGTATGACAATAGTTCAAAATTTTGATTTATACTCTTTTCAGTTGAAGCTGTAGCAGCTCTTGGGAACAAAGTTCTGGATGCCTTGGTTGCTGCTGATCCTGGCGAAATCTTAACCTTACTGAAAAACGAGTCTGGATTTGAAATCAGTTCTGCTGAGGCTACTGTAGAAATCCTTATAACTACCATTCCTCCAAATCTCAGAAAGCTGGACCCAGATCTACATTGTAAGTAATGTATATACCGTAAAAACTCGATTAATTCGCGGTCTCTATTAGTTCGCGCATCCATTTTATTTTCGAACGCTAATTTTTTAAATGTATCCTTTTAATTCGCGGCGTTCAAAAACATGTTTAAAATTGTATCCTATTAATTTGCGGGCCAGAATAAAGTGGATAACTCAGAATATATTGCATGAAGACATTAAAAATATACTTTTATGTTATCAGTACTTGGTGTCGCCGCAATCACAGATGATCTCCGTCATCACAGCTTTTCAGTTAGCAAGCAGTTTAGGTTCGGTAAAGATTTAACGTGAAAAAATCATTCCCCCACGACACTACAGATGTTGGGCAAGATTATTACTTAGTCGATAAATATCCATCGGTCAGCACATCGATTACGAATTTCTGTGATGGAAAGCTCAGTACGTCCTATGGTGTGTAAATTGACATTTTTGATTGGTCGGGCGATTGACCTCGTGTCACATTTTCATTATACCGGATTCGGTAAAAAACACAGAGTTAAGCTGTCATGTACTTTCTATAAATCTAACCTTGCACACATAATCTTGTACTGATGTGTTTTTTGTCCAAGAAAGACGTTCCCTTTCATTTAACCCCCAGTTAACTCTTCGCGTCCATGGTATTTGTGAGTTAAAAGATTTTTCGAACA